AGTGTCAAATTTAAGCTGATCGACCTTAATTTTCCCCTAAATAGCCCAAAGCACACTTTAGTTTTCTGAAATCAATGAACTGCTCTGTTTTGTTGTCAAACTAAACTGCTCTGAACATGACAATCATGCCCCAAATGCCATTTGCACCAACAACTAGCTGGTGCAGTGTCAAATTTAAGCTGATCGACCTTAATTTTCCCCTAAATAGCCCAAAGCACACTTTAGTTTTCTGAAATCAATGAACTGCTCTGTTTTGTTGTCAAACTAAACTGCTCTGAACATGACAATCATGCCCCAAATGCCATTTGCACCAACAACTAGCTGGTGCAGTGTCAAATTTAAGCTGAACGACCTTAATTTTCCCCTAAATAGCCCAAAGCACACTTTAGTTTTCTGAAATCAATGAACTGCTCTGTTTTGTTGTCAAACTAAACTGCTCTGAACATGACAATCATGCCCCAAATGCCATTTGCACCAACAACTAGCTGGTGCAGTGTCAAATTTAAGCTGAACGACCTTAATTTTCCCCTAAATAGCCCAAAGCACACTTTAGTTTTCTGAAATCAATGAACTGCTCTGTTTTGTTGTCAAACTAAACTGCTCTGAACATGACAATCATGCCCCAAATGCCATTTGCACCAACAACTAGCTGGTGCAGTGTCAAATTTAAGCTGATCGACCTTAATTTTCCCCTAAATAGCCCAAAGCACACTTTAGTTTTCCGAAATCAATGAACTGCTCTGTTTTGTTGTCAAACTAAACTGCTCTGAACATGACAATCATGCCCCAAATGCCATTTGCACCAACAACTAGCTGGCGCAGTGTCAAATTTAAGCTGAACGACCTTAATTTTCCCCTAAATAGCCCAAAGCACACTTTAGTTTCCTGAAATCAATGAGCTGCTCCGTTTTGTTGTCAAACTACCTACAATGCTCTGAACATCACAATTATGACCCAAGGTCTGGTGCAGTGATAAAGGCATCCAGTTCCATATAAAAATGTCAAGTAAGTGGCAGCTGTGGGCCGCATTTTGATTAATGGCCGGGTGATTTCACCATCACATTTTTGCAATCTAATTAGGTAACACTGCATGATGATAGTTTCATTATTTTGTAGCTCTGTTCTCTTAAATCAAATAGTATATATGGACTGCATTTAAAAATGGCTAAACAGTAAATAGGATTGAATCAAAATTCTGTTCAATAAATAAACTTTGAAAACACCTTAATTAGGTTTGTAACAATCTTGATTCCACCTTTGTCTATTAGCGCAGGTGGCCCATCTTCTATTTTGTGAGGCTGGATGTGAATCTCCAAAATCAGAGTCCACAAATTCTATGCCGCAAAACCCGACACCAATCAAATTCTCTAGCCCCGGCTGATAGGTTCTCAGTGTTTGTTCTAATGACGTGCACGGAAAAGCTAGCACACTCCATTGCTACCATCCTCTTTTTGTCCGAATTCTAACCGTGCTGTGACTATCTTGGGATGACAATTGCCGTACCAAGTGCTGCAAACTAGACAGCTACACCTCGGATAAACCTTCATCATGAAATGCGCGCCAAATGCCTTCCCATTTTAGTAATCATTCCATGCATCAATTTAAGAGCTGGACCATTTCAAAGCAATTTTAAACAGAAAGGTTATTCCCGAGATTTTGCATGCATGTTGGTTACTTCATCACCTAATGCACCGTCACTGTAGTGGTGGAAGCCCAAGGAATGCTCGCTTTATAACATTAGAAATAAATGGAAGACAGTGGGCGTGGATGGAGATAGCATGCCAGGAGTAAAGGGAAGATGGAGGTGTCAGTATTTTTATGCATTCAGCTGATTTATGTGAATCGACATGGTACAAAAAAAAACGCAAAAGAATCTAAGAACCTGTTCACTGCCACCAGGAGGCACGCCTACCAAGCCGCTAGAGCCACTGCACACAATGGATAGCACAACAGGTCATTGAGTGAACCATACCTTAAGGGGGTAAAGAATCGAAACTTGAAATGTCTTCAGAACACTTCGAAACGGGTGAAATAGGATCCATTATATCCGTGAATGATAATCACACGCTTGTTATTTTTAGCTAATGGCTATATTTTTCGTTCCAACCGAAGGATTCTGGTAAGCGGGGCAAGCGCTTCAAAATCGGCCGTTGAAGCGGCGCGATGAGCCTCAGGATATTTGCTTGCAATGCCACACTTGCAGCATCACAATTATGGCACCCTGGCCGTAAACAGGCCAGGGTGCCAGAATCATGATCGTCGTCACTTAGCGGTGCCAGCTTTATCGTAAGCACATTACAACAACGCCACGTGGGAATACCCAAGGTACGGTGTACTAGAACTGAGAGGTGTGCCAAGCGCCGCTCGTTCCCGGGCGCCTCCATCAGTCACTGCCGCGTCCTGGTGCTGATAGTAATGGGTACCCGACGTCGGACATCCCAACGAAGCTCGGCCTCCCCAATACCAGGTGGTATTGGGGAATCGTTTTAAAATTGCTTTTCTTGCATTTACGGACCAGTGTAGACTGGTGTTTGTGAGCTGCTGTCATAAAAGAGACCACGTCTACACAAAGAAATTGGAGTTAAAATTTCGCTTCCGCACCTCACTAAGATAACCCCACTGTATTCACCTGCTTACAAAGGCTCCAATTGCCCAAGTCTTTTACAGGCCAAGGACGAGCCTATGGGAAAAGCGTTGGTTTGGCAAAAAGAGGCCGTGCCAATACAGCAATTCAGAAGATTGGAAGACCCTTTTGCTGGGAAGAAGCCCAAATCAAGCAGAGCCTACACCAGACACCACTGCCGTCAAGAAGGGAACCTGATAGTAAGCTGGCCATCTCACACCTTGACTCGCTGCCTCTTTGGTATAGCCAGGGGCTTAATTAATTTAAACAGTCATTTACAGAGAGGTTTCCAGATGAGTCCTAGAAGCTACCCATACAGAAGCAAGCAGGGGCGGATGCAGGAATTTCCTGAGGGGGGGGGGGGGGGGGGGGTCAGGTATTGGTCAGCGTACCAAGTGCTTAGAAACCCCCTCCCCCCTCTCCCTTGTTTCACGCCCTAAATTTTACACATGTAGAAATCAAGAGGGGGGTCAGGACATCCGGACCCCTCCTCTAAATCCGTCCCTGGAAGCAAGTTCATCTGCTCACTGTGCAGAGGTACAGTGATGTCAGAGTGCCGAGCTCCGATTGAAGGACACAGTGGATAGACACAAAGGCCTTTGTGTCTACCCACTGTGCCCTCCAATCAGAGCGAGCAAGCCGGACCAGGAGGATTTTTTTGGTCGCACACCAGTCACCTAGCTGTGTTTGGAGATTTGTGTTTGTCCTTTGTCCCTCTTGTTCCCCTTCTCCAGGGCTTATTTCCATTAGTCTACTCCTTGTACAGAGTGCAGGGGCACCAGATGTCAGGGCACTGAGCTCGGGTGTCGCCTGCTGGTCACAGCAATGGCTACCTTGCCTTTTATACGACTTTCAGAAATCCACCGGTTCCTTACGAATTAGGACAGAGCCTTCGTGAAAGGAGATTAAATAGTTTGAAGGGTACATTGTTTTCGTTGACTAGCAACTATCAGACGTTCTACAATGAAATAGACAACTCATGGCCGAGGTGGTGTTTGCTTTGTCGCACACATGCTCACTCCCTCTCATCTTTTCACGCCTCCTCTCTCATGAGCGGAGACCCCTCACTTTTTCTAACCTCCCCACTCATGCACAAAGCAGTACAATTTGGTGGATTTGCTCGACGAACTGTCTGCCCATAAAGCAGGATTCTATAAAAGCTTTACAAGTGGTCACCTGCAAAGATATGTCCACGTGCATCATTCCTTCATCCAGTCCTCCCTGGTCAAGTGGCATTTACCTAGCTTGTAATGCTGAGAAAAGGTGTTGGATGCTGTGAGGTTCAGCTCCCTACGTAATTGCACAACACAGTTTGTACAAAGACTGTACTGGCACCTCTTCCTATTTGACCCTCACGTGAGAGGGACCGGTGGCCGAGTGTATTAACACATCGGAACGCGTGGAGCCAAAGCCCGCGCTGCAGAACCCAGGATTGAAACCCTGCCCGATCTGGATGAGCATCGTACTAGCGTGCAGTTGTATATCGCTACTGCCTCGTGCACCTTAAAGACCCCAGGCAAGCAGTGGTACCGCACTGGCTAAATTTCTCACCTACAGCGGAAACCAGTGTCGAAGCACCTGAAAGCAGACTCGACCTTACGCTGAAACATAAACATTTTTTTTTCTTTTTCTCTTTATGTTGTTTTGGTAAGCACATTTTACCCCATAACTTAGTAGTGTTCCAGGTGAACATGTTTCACCAAACTGTAAAGTTTAATGCGAGAGTTTCAGTTGTGAGGAAAAAAACAAAAAAACTCGGCAATCATAGCAAACAAACTTTTTTTTATGTGGTTTTGGTAAACACATATTACCACATAACTAAGTGTTCCAGGTGAGCATGTTTCACCAAAATGCAAAGTGTAATGAAAGAAAAAAAAAAAAGACTCAGCAATCTTGCTAACCGTATCGCGATGTGTAAAGTGGATGCAGGTGCAGCAAACACTGAAAGCACTGCCAACACTGTGGTAAGAGTCACGAACCAAATAGCCCATTCTTTCCTGCTTCCCTTTTTCTTTGCATCCTGACACTGTGCCAAAGAGTGACCCCACCATTTGTTGCACCGCACAGGCAAAAAGGTAAACAAAAAGGTGGTGCAAAAAAATGGCAGACAATGAAATGCAGCTGTCTCTCGTTACAGGCCAGCCATTTCTGTCTCTCCTACGCCGTCACCCATCCCTGGCTACAATGCAACCCCCAGCAGTGGTGCACGCCCCCGCACACACTGGAGCAGGGAACTTGACAACGAGACACTCGACAAACACACTTTACACGGTATCTGGCAGCACACAGGACAGCCTTTCTGGGACTGACTTATGCAACCAGGTACAATGCAGACAAGATTGGTAGCAAAGAAAAGGGAAAAAGAGGTGACAGTTACCAGAGGAATTCTTGTACTTGCTGTCGTGATCATACCTAACGTACCCTGTGGACAAAACAAAAAAGGCGGGCATGACACAGAGTTGAGGACACAACACAGGACAGTGAGGGGTGCTCCAGAAGAACAGACTGAGGACAGTGCTCGCCTAGCACAGCCACCCAACGAGCATGTGCCCAACCGCCGAAGGTACTCCAGCAGATGGCTGCACTACGAAACCCGGGGCATCCCCATTGAGTATCCTGCGACCCTGCGCAGTGCTACGAACGGGGGCCACAGCTGGCCAAGCCCCAACCGTTAGGCCCGCGGACATTTGCAGCCCACAAAGTGAGAGCCCACAGACAAGTAACATGACGGGGCAGTAAGTAACCTTGCACTTGGAATGCAAACCACAAGAATATATAGAGGGATTTGAATTTGACCAAACTCATCAGGTGGGGTCTTTGGATCTGCTTGAAACAAGTGTATCTGGTAGCTCTGCCTCCCTGCAATGCACAACACTTCCCCCAAGAAAACTTGAGGTAACAGGGGAAAAAATTGTGCTACCATGTGGTAGACGGCATCGAAATTCAAATTTGTTTCTATACTCTCGCTGTTCTTTAACAATACTTAAATATTAAGGTGGGCTAGTTGGATATGCATTTTACAAATAAATAGCACGAAGGTCAAGTACACACTGACGGAACAAGCAATAACTGTATTAAAACGACAGAGCACCTGTTCCGTCAGTGTGTACCTGACCTTCGCATTATTTATTTGTAAAATGTTTAACAATTGATGATCACTGAAACTAGTAATATTTGTTTATTGAGTGGGGACTATTACAAACTATATTTGGAAAGAATCGCAATTTTGCCCCAATTAAAAATGCTGTAGCAAACAAATGGTTAGGAACATTGATGTGAACCATCTATCAGTGAGTAGCTCTAAACTAAATTATTTTTCTAAATTTGCAGTACATCTTAAGGCTGGTTCCCACACTTGCAACTGCGTACTTGCGACTGCTGGAGAGGGCCAAAACTGCTTTTGCAGCCTCTTGTCACTGCTTAGGATCACTCCACCAGTCGTCCACAGACACAAGAGGCTTAGAAACTGGTTTTTAACCTCTCGGGTCGTAAGCAGTCGCAAGTGTGTGATTTAGCCTTTCGAATTTGAGGTTTGAGGTTTCTGGTTAATAGCTCCATACACAGCTCTCGCCAAATCTCAGTCATCTGCATCAGTTCCACAAAAATCAAGTTATGCCTCGAAACTTCTTCAGGTAAAATTCACCACTAAAATGCACCCTCCATGAAACTTTGAGCGTGTTATGTGCCAATGTTCATTCGTACGACTCATTCCGGGTGAACTGGAGGGCATTCACCCAAGGTCGAGGGCCAGCTCGCCACAGCAAGGACAATGGAAACTCCCAAAATATAATTATACATCAGTGTATTGCCTCCAGAGATTGTGAAAGGGGTTCATGAACTTATTGTTGTGATGCTAACCCTGCATCCAGATGACGGAGCGTAGCTGCTATAATAAACATTCGGGTTGGAGCTGAGATGAGTCAATTCAAATGAGCCCCTCTAGGTAGCACCCAAGCTGATGAAGTCAAATGCTACCAGGTTTGGACCACTGCATATTTAATTTACTCTGAAACTCTGGTTGCAATTCAGCTCCTCTCCAGTGCTCTGGTCTTGTCATGGGCTCTGACAACCAGTTCTAAAAATGCCTTCGTACATCGAAAAGTCGTGAAACATTTCAGACTTCCCATTTGGATAAATAATATGCACATTAAATTAGGATCCTGCGATAGCATTGGTGTATCCCATCCAACATTTGGTTACATAAATGGGTTACAAAAATGGTGTATGTGTTAAACAAAAAAAAAAAATAGAGACTGCATCACTTCTCTGTATTGTAAAATACTAACATATCCAAAATAATATCAATTGGCTTTAAAAAATAGTGAAGCCATTCATGCAATTACACTCTAATCAAAGCTCCTTAATGGCAGATCCAGAAAGCGAACCGCCTTCAAGAACAATTCAGCATTTGTCATAAGCTGCCTTGAATAGAAGTGAAAGCCAAACAACTTAAGGTGTCAGATGCCTGAATACTCGCATGAGGGAACTAAGAATTAGGATAGCAAGCGTGAGACTCCATACTGACAATATTTGACTATGCACATGCCTCACACAAAGCATTCGTGCACGTGCGTGCTCACAGCAGTTTACATGAAATGTACCCCTCATAGGACTTTTGGCAACTGCAACTCTGCTGCATAGGACAAGTCAATTGAACTGTTCAAATATATTGCACATAACAGTTTCCCATAATTAGATACAGTAATTTATCACCGAGGTGGGACTAAATGACACATCTTCTCTGACCAATGTCCAAGGAATATCTTGTATCAATCAAAAACGAGAGACAAAACTAGACATATCCACAAACTGAAGTAAAAAAGCAGCAAAAAAAAATGTTTCTGTTAACCAAAAGACTGTTTGATTTGGCAGGATCTGGGAATGAGAGCAGTCGCAATGACTGCCTCTTCTCCAATTTTTGGAGCTGTTGCCGACAGAGTACCACACAAACTAATTCGACGAATTGATTGATTGATTGATTGATTGATTAGGTGTTTATGGCACATCAGCATCTAAGGATATGTTGTGCCAAGCTTAGACTATTGCAATATGGGTTTATGGAGAGAAAAGAGCTATAGTAGCGAAATATGTGAGAAAACTATGAACATGAATGTGTGTAAGTGTAAAAAATATGACCATGTGTTTAGGATAGACAGTAAAATCACAGTCAGTGTAGAAGGCCACCATCTGTGAGGAAGCGAAAAACACAGCTGTGTGGGATGAGCAGTTCATTACCTAGTAGTAAGGCAAGGTGTAGTGGAACGTGTTCTTTATAAAGCAGTGAGGAGTGTTTGTAGCGGTGCTGATCATACATAGGGCAATCAATGAGTATGTGCATAATACTTAGAGGTAAGTTGTTACAGTGTCCACATTCATGAGCATCCTCCCCGCTATTGTATTTGGTGAATGTAAAGACACAAGGTATGTGACCGTGGTTCCATGGAAAAACCGTAGAATACCGCACATCCGCCCATTCCACATTAAGCGCCTAACCCTTTAACTGCCATGGACGAGTCCCACTCGTCCATGCTTGCCGTGCTAATACTCCCAGTGAGGGGTCTCACTCGTGCTGCGATGCGGAGATGTCTCCTACATGCCAGAGACGAGCTGGGCACGTCCAGAGCGCCTCATTGTTACCAGCCATCTCCAGATGGTGCTAGGCGACCCAAACTTTTTTCGTGCTCCGCCAATTTTGGAGAAGCTGGAGCAATCGTCTGGCCGCCTTTAAAAATGGCGGCTACCTCAAGCGCTTGCGGCAGCGGAGACACGCATGTGCCACGGTGAAAACGCGTTTTTGCCCAGATTCAAAGCAGTTCAGATGAAGAATATGAGGAACTGCTTCTGGACAGTGCCAGCAATTATTCATCAGATCTTGAACTGAGCTCGGATGAGTGCGACACAAGTGATGACGAAGATTTACAGGCATCTCGGAAGCGGATGAAGCTTGATATGAGAAGTAGCCGCCTCCACCCCCTCGATTTCCCTTTCTGGCGTCTCCCGGTATGACGGCTACAGTTCAAGATGAGCACAACCCTCTTGAGTTTTTCAAGCTATTTTTTGACGACGAGGTCATTGTCCTGATCGTGCAAGAAACGAAGAGGTATGCCTCACAGTTTCTCGCAAAACATCGGACAACTGAAGGCTCTCGCGCTGCAGTGTGGAAGCTGTTGACTGCGGAGGAGCTCAAGGTGTTCCTCGCATTGATACTGCTGCAAGGCATTATAGACAAGCCTGAACTCGCCATGTACTGGTCGACCAGGAGGATTCTCCAAACCCCCATCTTAGGTGAACTCATGAGCAAGAACAGATTTCACCTGATAATGAAGTTTCTTGATTTTTCCGAAAACGAAGATGAGATCGATGAATCACAGCAGCCCCAACCGAAGCTTTGCAAGCTGTGGCCACTGCTGTGTCTCCTCAAGGAACGATTTCTCACCCTCTATGTTACCGAGAGCACTGTAGCAGTGGATGAAAGCTTGATGCTGTACAAAAGAGAACTGTCCTGGAAGCAGTACCTGCCCCTGAAGTGCTCATGCTTTGGTGTGAAGTTCTTTCTCCTTTGCGAGTCTGAGAGCGGGTACATCTCTAACCTCATCGTTTACACCGGCAAGGGGACTGTTACGCTAGACGCGGACAGTGCCATGGGCACAAAGGTCGTCCTGAGCCTGATGGAACCTTTTCTTTGCAAAGGGTACTGCGTCACTGTCGATAATTACTACACCTCTCCAGAGCTTGTAGACAAGCTCCTGCAGCAAAAGACCGATGTATATGGCACGGTTCGGCCAACAAGAAAGGACATGCCCCCCTTCAATGACCTCAAACTCAAGAAAGGAGAAGTCGGGGCATTTCAGCGAGGAAAGTGCATGGCCCTGCAGTGGCGCGACAAAAAGCTCGTTACCTTGCTGAGCACAGTTTACGATGCCACAGTCGTCGAAGGCGTCAACGCCCGGAACGAGAAAGTCGTGAAGCCTGCTGCAGTTTACGACTACAACAACACCATGGGAGGAGTCGACAAGAGTGACCAGAACCTCGTACAACCCGGCTGTGAGAGATGGGCAGAAGGTCTATTACAAGAAGATCTTCAGGCACCTTTTCGACAAGTGTGTCTACGACTCTTTTGTTCTTACAAGAAACAAGGAGGCGCACTCAGTCAACTGGACTACCGACTGGACCTCGTAGAGAAGGTGATTGCAGCAAATCACGATGAAAGCCAGCGGAAGAAAGTTGGAAGAAAGTCCGACAATGAAGCCACGCGGCTTACAGCTCGCCATTTCGTAAGCTTTATTCCTCCAACAGAGAACAAGCAGCTCCCGACTCGGCGCTGTGTCGTCTGCTGCAAGGCCTCGTCCACCGGAGGTACCAAGATCCGGAAGGAAACAAGATATTGGTGCAAAAACTGCAACGTGGCGGTCTGCGTAATTC